GCTGTTTGTCTTCTTGACACTGAGTTGTAAGGGTTCTTTGAATATGCTGTTGGCCACAATGATCAGATATAAATTTACAATTTTTTCCCCATGCAATGGTCTTTTTCATTTTCTGAAGCCTTTCGAAGGGCAGAAGTTTTAAATTCTGATCAGTTACAATTTATCAATTTTATAGCAGTTCATGCCTTGAGCAATTTATACAAGAAATCTCTTTCATTCCCAAGGGCGTGGAGATTTTCTCCTATGTCTTCTTCTAGATGTTTTACGGTTTTAGCTCTCACATACAGATCTATAACCTATTCTGAATTATTTTTTTGCCTACGGTATGATATAAGGGGTATGGATCAACTTTTATACATGAATATCCAGTTGTTCTGGCACCATTTACTGAAAAGACTGTTTTTCCCACTGAATTACCTTGGTAGTTTTGTTAAAAATCTGTATTTATTCTGTCCTGTTGATTTGTGAATCTATCCTCTTGCCAATACCACACTGTCATAATTGCTGTAGCTTATAGTAAGTCTTGAAATCAGGTATTGTGAGTCCTACAATTTTGTTCTCTTTTTCAAAGTTGTTTTGGCTATTCTAAATCCCTTGAATTTCTTAATAAACTTTGGATTTACCTTGTCAATTTCTACAAAAACCCTTTTGCCACGATTTTGATTTGGGTTTTGTTGTATCTGTAGATAAGTTTGGAGAGAACTGACATTTTAACAATATTGAATTGTTTAATCTACATATGACATATCTTTCCATTAATTTAGATTATTTAATTTCTCTCAGCAATGTTTTGTAGTTTTCAGGATATGTGTACATTTTGGTGGATGTATTCATAAGTATTTCATTTCATGTTTTCTGATGCTATTATGATTTATTTTTCAGTTTCAATTTCCAGCTGTTGCTGGGGCATAGAATTGCAATTGATTTGTGTCCATCATTGGTGTCCAGTGTGATGTTAATCCTAATCAGTGTATTTATTTATTTTTTATTTTTATTTTTTTGCTGCACCGTGAGGCACGTGGGATCTTAGTTCCCCAAGCAGGGATCAAACCCTTGCCCCCTGCAGTGGAAGTGTGGATTCTTAACCACTGGACTGCCAGGGAAGTCCCCCAATCAATGTATTTTCATTTTACATATTGTGTATTTCATGTATAGGATCTTTCTTTAGGTCTTTTTATATCTTTCATGACACTCCTCTCATGTTTATGCCTTCCTCTACCTTCGTGATCATATGGAGTATATTTACAGTAGCTGTTGGAGCATCTTTTTCTGCTAATTCTATCATCTCTGTCATTTTTCTGTTTCTTTGTGTAGATCATGGGTCACACTTTTCTGTTATTTTAAATGTCTGTGCTTTAGTCAGTTTGAGCTACTATAACAAATTACCACAAATTGTTGTTTGTTGCTGAAACAACAAACATTTTATTTCTCACGTTCTAGGGGTTGAGGAATCCAAGATCAAGGCCCCAGAGGATACAGGTCTGATGAAAGCTTGCTTCCTGGTCTGCGGTCTTCTCACTGTGTCCCCACAGGGTGCAGAGCAGAGAAAGGAAGCAAGCCGTGTCGTGTCTCGTAAGGGCACGAATCCCATTATGGGGGGAGGCCCCATCTCTACCTGCCATCACACTGGGGGTTCAGCTTCAGCATACAAATTTTGGGGAGCTGCAAACATTCAATCTACTGTGGTCTGGAGATTTTTGTTTGGGTGCCTGACATTATGAATTTTACATGTTGAAGGCTGAATTTTGTTTATTTCTTTAAATAATTTTGGGCTTACTCTGGAATGTAGTTGCATCATTGGAATCAGATGGATCATTTGAGACTTCCTCTCAGGCTCTGCTCTGGACGGCAGGTCCAGAGCAGCGTTTAGGTCAGATTATTTTAACCCCATTACTCCTAAGATGGCACCCTTCTGAGGATGCTCCCAGGGCCCTGGGAGGTGGAAGGTCATGGTCGCCACTGATGCCGAAACCCCGCCTCTCTTTACTGGTGCCGAGTAGAAATGTGGAGACAGAGTTTTGGGTGAAGTAAGAAAGAGTGCTTTTATTGCTTTGCCACAGGCCGAGGGGGCCTCAGTGGGCTCGTGCCCTCCAGACGTGCCCTCCCTTGAGAGCAGGAAAGGCTCTATAGTCCCGGGTGGGAAATCGGGCAGCAGACAAGGGTGCAAGCAGCACCTTCTTGACATCAGGAAAGTTTCAGAACCATCAAAGCTGGCGTCAGGTGGTCCCAGGATGGGCTCTGGTGGTCCTTGAGGCTATCGTGCCATGACCTTCTTTCTGGAATGAAGAAGAGGCTCACAAAGGGAGGGGCTGGTAGGGAGCGTTTTCTCCAGGAAGTAAACGCCAGATGCATAGCTCAGTTCTAACCAGAAAGCAATCACTTTCAAATGGCAGTTAAGCAAGAAGAAAAAGAAAAAAAAAAAAAAAATCTGTGGGAGAGAGTGGCCGGATGGGCTAAAAGAATAAAGTTTAACGTGAGGGAGGCTATCAACTCATTTCTGTTGCAACAGCGATCTGGCCATGGGAGAGCTATTTCCAGCCTGGGAGAGCACTGCCAGCCCCGCTGCCCATCCTTTCTGGTGGTTCTTTCCCCAGTCGCGCGTCGTTTCCTCTTAAGGACACCACTCTGCTGGTCTCCTCGTTTTTCTGTGTGAAGGGCCTTCTCTCTCAGCCGCCCGGCCTCCCTGAATTCTGGTCCTGGTCTCCTCAACTCAGCAAGAGGGCCATTCTCTGGGTTACCCCCTCTGCTCTGCACCTGGGAACTGCTCCCCTTGAGAGCTGGGGGCTTCGCAGAGCTCAGACCATTGCCCACTTCACTGGTCTCCTGTCGGGGACCATAGTCCTGTGATGTCTGTAAACTGTGATTTAATGCATTTTATAGGCTTTCTTGGTTGTTTAATGCGGTAAGGTGCATTTGGTCTCTGTTAATCCATCATGGCTGGAAGCACAAGTCTTGAGTTTTTTTTTTTTCCGGTACGCAGACCTCTCACTGTTGTGGCCTCTCCCGTTGCGGAGCACAGGCTCCGGACGCGCAGGCTCAGCGGCCATGGCTCACGGGCCCAGCCGCTCCGCGGCATGTGGGATCCTCCCGGACCGGGACACGAACCCGCGTCCCCTGCATCGGCAGGCGGACTCTCAACCACTGCGCCACCAGGGAAGCCCTTGAGTTTTGATTGATACGTTTAATCTGATAATCTGATCGACGTGTCTGCTTCCTCAATATGCTTTTGCAGCACAGAAGCTCTGCATTATGCGTGTTCTGCATACTCTGAAGCACCCATTAGAACCGTACACTTGCAGGCAATTGCAAAAGTGCAGAGGGGAGCCCAGCCTCCCTGCAGTCCCGTGTCCAGAGCAGGGACCGGAGCCGCAGCGAACACTCAGTGTCCAGGCGTCAGGGAAGGAGTGGGTTCAGGCCACCTGATCTGTGATTGGAAAGCAACAGCGGGAGAATCAAAAGATACAAGAAGTATGTTCAGAAAACTCCTTCAGGGTGACCTCTGTGATCTACCGAATCCTTCCCCCAGGTGTTAGTGTTGACTGTGGAGGTGGGGACTGACTTGGCACAGGTAGATGGGTTATGGGACGCTTTTCTCCTTCCTGTCTGAGCCTCCGAGGCCTGCATTTCTGTTTTTCCTCCGTCTTCTTGACCCTTGCTGGGCCACATGGCAAGGGGGGAGCTGAGGGAGAGTGAATGTGCATTTCACAGGAGTATCAGGATTCCAGGGCAGGGATTTTGTCGGGGGTGGGGCTGGGGCTGGATAATAAAGCAGGATGATGAGCACCACCAAGTAAAGAAAGATGAGTGGGTGTGGCAAGAGCAAAGAATCCTTCTTTCCTTCCTGTTTGTTTCAAATGATAGATTTCAGAGTCCTGCGTGCTGAGACTCCAGCTCCATCCTTTCTTAGTCTCCTGGTGAATTTCTCGAGCCTGGACCCCGTGTCACCCCTCTTGGCATTCCCAGCATGTCACATGCTCCATCAAGGTTGTTTGGAGTGTAGTCAGGCTGACCCGGCCAGGCTGGTCACACCGTTTCACAGACATGCAGCGCTCAGTGTTCCTTTTCAGCCAGAGCCGGTCACCTGCAGGTGACATGTTCTCCAAGGACCCAGAGTGGGCCTGTCCACAGAGCCTTCCCTAACCATGCCAACCTGAACCTTCCTTCCCAAACTCTGGTTTCTGAGGATTATGATGTGTTTGCCCCAGCAGATTAGTGGTTGTTAGCTAGACTGTCCATTGGACATATCTGTGGCTTTTAAGGATCGTATATATAAAACCATAACTATATACCCAGCCTTTAATATTATATATAATATTTTCAGGCTATAGGACTCCTAGCAACATCTACATTTCTACGAGTTTTGTTCAGTGGAATCTTGTGAATGTAGTTAATTTGAATTTTGCAGGAGATGTTTCTGCAGATCAGATCTGTGGTTTTGCTGATATCACCCTTCTTTATGCTCTAGATCAGGGATGGGCAAATCACAGCCCATGGCACCATGTCTGGTCCGCCCACTCATTTGTGTAGCTGTCTGTAGCTGCTTTCACACTGCACCCGCAGATTTGAGTAGCTGTGTCAGAGACTACAGGACCTGAAGATCCTAAAATATTTACCATCTGGCCTTTTACAGAAAGAGGTTGCTGACACCAGCTCTAAATGAATATTTCTGTGTAAAATAGTGTGCTGTGCACTCTTTGTGTTGAAATGGGAAGAAATCTATTTCCTTAATTCTCTGGCTGTCTGAGAATACTTAACTGTAATGCGTTTTGCTTTCTTTCCTCCTTAGACTCACTTCTCTCCTATTCTCTCTGCTGTGAGCCAGAGGAGTTGAAAGTCCACTCCCCTAATAGTCCAGACCCGGACTCTCTGCCCAGATCAAGCACCACCATGAGAGAGGTGAGCATCTTTTTTATTTTGGTTGGGAGTATAATTTCGGTCGATCGTGCTCCTTGAAAATGACACTACTGCTAACTCTATCTTTGTTCACCTTCCAGGAACCCATGAATTCCACCTACATCTACGATGCAAATGAGGATTATTTTGGGTTGGCTAATAGTTCAGATTACTTACTCGATGTTGATAGCTTTCTGTGTTCCTTGCAGGAGGTCAGAAAGTTCTCTGGGCTATTTGTGCCACTCGCTTACTCCTTGATATGTGTCTCTGGCCTCCTGGGCAATATTTTGGTGGTGGTCACCTTTGCTTTTTATAAGAAAGCCAAGTCTATGACAGACGTTTATCTCTTGAACATGGCCATCGCAGATATTCTCTTCGTCCTTACCCTCCCGTTCTGGGCCGTCAACCACGCTACTGGCGAGTGGATTTTCAGCAACGTCATGTGCAAACTGACCCGGGGCATCTACGCCATCAACTTTAACTGTGGGATGCTGCTCCTGACCTGTATCAGCCTGGACCGCTATATCGCCATCGTGCAGGCCACCAAGTCCTTCCAGCTCCGGTCCAGAGCCTTGGCCCACCACAGGATGATCTGTTTGGTCGTGTGGGTGGTGTCGATCTTCATCTCCAGCTCGACCTTCATGTTCAACCAGAAATACAAGCTGCAAGGCAGCGACGTCTGCGAGCCCAGGTACCACACCGTCTCCGAGCCAATCCGGTGGAAGCTGCTGATGCTGGGACTGCAGCTCCTGTTCGGCTTCTTCATCCCGCTGGTGTTTATGATATTTTGCTACATGTTTATTGTCAAGACCTTAATTCAAGCTCAGAATTCCAAAAGGCACAGAGCCATCCGCGTGATCATAGCCGTGGTCCTCGTCTTTCTGGCCTGCCAGATCCCACATAACATGGTGCTGCTCGTGACCGCCGTCAACCTGGGCAGGACGGACCGCTCGTGCAGCAGCGAGAGGCTGCTGGGCTACACCAGGAACGTCACCGAGGTCCTGGCTTTCCTGCACTGCTGCCTCAACCCGGTGCTCTATGCCTTCGTCGGTCAGAAGTTTAGAAGCTACTTCCTGAAGATCGCGAAGGACCTGTGGTGCGTGAAGAGGAGGCAGAAGTCGCCGGGCTTCTCGTGCTCCCGGCTGCACGCGGACACCCTCACCTCCCGGCAGAACAGCGAGACCGCGGACAGCGACGGCCAGTCCTCCTTCACCGTGTGACGCCCCCCAGGCTCGGCGCGGATGGGCCGGCGGACGGGACAAAAACGCACGGGGCGTGTGGACATGAAGCCAAAGCGAGCGGGGTCTTTCCTCCAAGATCAGGGCTGCACGCGCTCGGGGTGCTATAGCAGGCACCGACGGGCAGCATCCCCCAAACTCACTTGACGGGGATGCTCTGTGCCCCCGTCCCCGATGGCTGGCATTCTGCAAAACAGGCTTTGGGAAATGCTGAATGAAAATGAATTGCTGACAAACGTGAACACTTTCAGGAATATTCATGAAGCAGCCCTAGACCACAATTTCTTCTGGTCATCGCAAAACATCCCATGGCTTAAAAAACCAAAACTGATGGGCTTCCCTGGTGGCGCAGTGGTTGAGAGTCCGCCTGCCGACGCAGGGGACACGGGTTCGTGCCCCGGTCCGGGAGGATCCCGCGTGCCGCGGAGCGGCTGGGCCCGTGAGCCACGGCCGCTGAGCCTGCGCGTCCGGAGCCTGTGCTCCGCAACGGGAGAGGCCACAGCAGTGAGAGGCCCGCGTACCGCAAAAAACAAAACAAACAAACAGAAAACAAAAATGGAAAAAAACAAACGAAAGCCCTCCTGTAACTCATTTTAGGCAGAAGGTTAAACGTTTTTCCGTCGCGATGGTTACTGTTGGTATCATAATAGCAAAATGGGCTGGCTGAGCTTTATCTCATTTCCCTGTGAAAAAGTGTGAGCTTTTTCTCATTTCTCAAGCATGAGCTCATAAAAAAGCAGAAGAGAAACAAGCTCAGAGACAGAAGAGGTGGCTGCATAAGTAGTAGTGACACTTGTCACGGTGGATAAGGCAGTTGAGGTCGTGACAGGCCGTCAGGAAGTGTAGGTTTGCTTCATTTCCCTCTGTGACTGGAAATTCTCCTCTAAAAATCCATCAGGCTGCATGCGTTTAGCATACAGAAGGGGCTTAATAATTCTTGGTTTAACAGAACACAGTAAAATTGGAGCTCATAGCGTAGTTTAAAGAGTTAGTCGTTTAAATGTGTTTTTTTTTTTTTTTTTTTTTTTATAAATAGAGTTACTTCTGCTCTGACGTGTATCCTTACCTGTATCTCTGACTGTTTCTTTTGGTTAAATTCTTAGAAAGAGAGTTGTTGGATCAAAAGGGTATAGACATTTTGAAGACTTTTCTTACAGAAGCTTGGCTTAATCTGATAGGAGAATAACCACATTTTGTTTTATTTTGTATTCATTTGATTTACAGGTGAGGTTTCCTGGCTGTTTGTATTCATTTGGCTCCTTGGTTAATTACACCGTGTGTCCATCCTTCTGTAGTGAGAGTTTGTAAGGGTTGTGTCATATCCTGTCAGATCCGTATGTCTGACTTGCTATTCCTGTGTGTCATGGGGTGTTGAAAGACTCCAGTTATTTTCATGTGATGGTCCACACAACACTTAAATAAATGACTCATGATAGTTTGCTTTCAAAAAAAATAAATAAATAAATAGAGTACTTTTTTAAAAAGAACCAGGAAACTTTACTGAGACAACAATGAAAGAACTTTTGTTCATTTCCATCATGGAGTTGAAGAAAGATGTGTGTGGAGGGGACTCTGGCTGTGACGAGCTTCAAAGTAGCTTCTCAGAGAGCTTGGATCACGTTGGCTTCTGCTGCAGTAAAGTGGTTTTACCTAAAGTCTGAACTTAACTATGGAATCAGTTTTCAACAAATCTCTTTGACTGCGTCAAAAGTTCATAGAACTCAAGTTCTGAAAGTGCTTTGTAAATATATGAACCTAAGTGGAAAAGCATCAACCCATCTTACAAAAACACAAACACGGGAATTCCCTGGCTGTCCAGTGGTTAGCACTCTGTGCTTTCACTGCTGAGGGCCCAGATTCGATCCCTGGTCGGGGAACTAAGATCCCACAAGCCTTGAGGCGTGGCCAAACAAAACAAAACAAAACAAAACAAGCAAACAAAAAACCCCACCAATGCTTATTAGAAAAGTCCTGACATGAGCTGCAAAGATACTGATGTGTATTTAATGTGTTATCTGAAATTTTCTCTTGTTCTTACAAGCTTCAGCTACATCTCTACATGAAACTCAACATGATCTCTTAAGATCCAAAGCCTGTATTTTTAACACATGGTTTTGGCTTTTTGCAAAATAAAACTGTTCCGTGGGTGAGGTAGAAATTGTCTTTCAGTCTCAGCGCTCCGACTGGGAGACGCTGGTGTTCAGGAGTCCCATGTCCTTCAAACCCGTTAGCGTGTGACTTCAGAAATCAAAGCAGAGGAGGCGTTACTCAGATGCTTCTTTCGGTTTGACCAGAGCACTGATGAGATGCGTGAGAGCGTGTTTCAAAACCGGCACAGAAACATCATGCTGACTCGGCGAAGCTGGAATCAAGGTCTTCTGCATCTCAGTCTCCAGAGGAGTGAAACTTGCTTCTTTATGCAATAACCCTTTTCAGATTTCAGCCATAATGAATAAAGGTGTTTCTAAAATATGCTACACATCTTATTTCATTAAATGGCATGCTATTTTCGTGCTGCCTTGGGCATCAGAACAGGTGCATTAACAGCCGTTTGGCGCTGCAGAGGCCGACGCCCCCGGGGACCCGGGGCTACCGGGGTCTCTGCTCCTACATTAAAGGGCTCCGGACTGTTCTTTAACGGTTCCCGGGTCTCCTTTTCATCTATTTCTCGTATCTTCTCTCACTGTCAGCCTCTGACTGGACCTTAAGTGTGTGCCTTTCGTCCCTCCTCTGACTCTTTGCAAACATTGTTCCACTGTGTTTGGGGATCATCTGTCTACACTTGTCAGGACTGTGTATGAATAGGGACAGTGGGTTCGTGCCCGCCAGGCTGTTATTAATACATTAATCATATGCACATGTGTAATTTATTGCATATGCATGTGTGTGTGTTTATGTATAATCACATCTATGTGCTGACCAGGGGATAATTTTTCTTGGTTCCTGTTACAAAGTAGTTGAGACGCGGTCTCGGTCAATTATTTCTGGATAACTGAGATTTTACTATATGTATATCTCAGCGAAGGTGAAAAATTCAGGCACGGAGGTATTATCTTGCAAATTGTATATTGATTTGCTTCTGAGGACAGATAGCCTAGCTTTTAAGTGAAGCCAGGAAAGCACAATATTTTTGAATCCTTTTAAGATTTCTGATAGTGTGTGCAAATTCCAGGGTTCGGGAGGTATGAGGACACAGAATGTGGTCTAAATGAATACAGTGTGTATGCTTAGAGCCTACTGGTGTATCACTTTGGGAGGGCTGCCGTAACCAAATATCACAGACCAGGCTGCTCAAACAACTGACGTTTCTATCTCCCCGTCTGGTCTGAGATCCAGGTATGGGCAGGGCTGGTTTCGCCCCAGCCCTCTCCCCGTGGCTTGCAGATAGCCGTCTTCTCCCTGTGTCCTCACACAGTCGTCCCTCTGTTGGGGGAGTGTGTGTGTCCTGACCTCCCCTTCTTACAGGGACACCAGTCACATGGGATTAGGGCTCACCCTGATGGTATCGTTTTAACTTAACAACGCTTTAAGGCCCTCTCTCCAAATACAGTCCCGTTCTGAGGAATAGGGGTCAGGGCACCAACGTGTTAATTTGGGGGGACACAAGTCCAACTAGCCCATAACAACTAGGTTTCTAAAGGCAGAGCAGCTTTTCATATTCGAGTTAATTTCAAACACGTGAGAATTCATTTCCGGGTGGTGTCCCCCTTTCTGGTGAGGTGGGTTCCAGGTAGCCATTCCCAGTTCAGGTTTTCAGTTTTCAGGTGCATATCCCCATAAAATGAGGATGACAACGGACCTGTGGTGCTGGTCAGCCACACCTGCCTGTTCAGCCCGCACAGTAACTGAGCGCTGACGCTCCCACAGCAGATGGCCCTCCTCTGAGGATCTCTACTGGCCAGTCTGCTGCCCTCCATGCCCCTTGGGGGAGGGGGGCTTCTCCTGCCCCCCCTGCTTCACCCTCCAGCTCTTCAGTGCAGTGGGAATTTCCCCAAACTTGGGCCACTTCTGTACTTGATGTCGAGAGCACCCTCTTCTCTTGGGGGCCTCAAGGTGGTGGGCAGCAGCTGTGGCCTCAGAAGGCAGCTGTGACGGTGTCGGGGGGTGGGGTGGGACCCCCTTCGCCCACCCATTTGTATGAACAGGGCACTCCTGGCTCGAGACTTCAGAGGCCTCTGTTATCTCATCCGATTCCTAGAGCAGCCCGTATCCTCCCTCACAACTGCGGGAAGACCGTTCGAATCGCTGCAGCCCTCACCGAGTTCAGGTCCTCGGTTGTGGAGCTCACTGCCCTGTGGGAGCCAGAGGTACATATGCTGTCTTTTTGCTCAGGGACTTTACACGCGGGGAGGCTGTGGAACCAGAGCTCAGAACGAGCAGCCGTGACTTATTTTCACATTTTATGATTCAGTATGTACACCCGCCACACTCACTGCAAATTGCCAGATTGCTTTCTTACGTTCTTGCTTGAGTTGCATTTGCTAATATACTAATTTTCCTGATGTTTTATTTAGGAAAATCTACGAGAGAGCTAGCAGTAGGAGCTGTATCTTTTCTAATCCCTTGGTTTATTTCTCTCTTGTATTAGAGTCCAGGTAGACAATCCAGGACACTAGCAGGATGCTGTTGTCCTCAACTTCAGTCTGTCTTCATGGTGCAAGGGGGCTGCTGTAACTCCCTCTTTCACATTTTCACCCCAGGCAACAGAAAGAGGAAAAGGGGGAGGCAGGTGGCCTTTCCTTTAAGGGCACAATCTGAAAGTTGTGGGAATCACTTCTCCCAACCTATTGGCCTCAACTTAGTCATGTGGTTACAACAAGGTGAAAGAAAGTTGGAGAAATGTCTCCCGCTGGGCGGCTACGTGTCCACACACGTGTAATAACAGTGAATACACCACAGTTCTGTCACCATGGACTGTTACTCTGTGGGAGGGGAGGGGAGACGGTGGGAAAATGAACTTCAAGGGAAGGAAGGGCAGCTGT